TAAACGTTAAATATATAAAAATATATACAAATGAAGTTATATTACAAGTGGGTGGAATTTTTGCCTGACACTTGTCAGTATATGTATAGTGTGGAACATGTCTTTTACTTTTGGAAGAAGAAAAACCAAGGCCTGAATAATTTACGCTAGAGCTATTAACAAACCTTCGGAATGTAATAAAAAGCCTGCTTAACGAAGAGTTCTAGGTAATAATGGAGATGCACAATCGCGGTGCGCCAGATCGTAAAAAGGGCCGCCTCTGTACTTAGTGAATTTTTGACAGTTTTGGTTGAATATATCGCGTACGTCCGCCAACAAACCAATCATTTTGTACGCGTTCGTGGAAAAATATAATAAGTAGAAAGTCCTTCATCGTAGAATCTCCAAGGACGACTTCGGTTATTAATTGTCGAATAAAGAATAAAAAAACAGGAAAACTATTTGGTTCTTATTATGCAGTATTATTTTGAAAAGTTTTTGGACACAAGCTGTTTGATCTCTTCGCAGTAGGTTGTCTAGTAAAGGAATAATCGCAAACATTTTGGGCATGCCCGAGCCAAGGAAGGCTGTAATTAAGAACTGTGTTACAAACATTTTTCAATTAAATGTTATGCCAAATTAATCAATGTTTACCGTTATGATAAATATCCAGAAAGCGTTCGATACATTATGGCACAAATATTTTGATATTAATCGATTATTTGTCCATGTTAAATGTTGCAAAGAAACTATTGGGACGATAAAAATAAAAAGAGCTAATTGAGTTTCATTATAAATAGTTTATGTTATGGGATCTATTACTAAATATATTTAAAAATATATATTTTACATTACGAATTTTAAGTTCATTAGCGTTTATGTTTTATTGAAGTCGGAGCAGTAATTCAGGGGTGTTCCAAAACATTTTCAATCCAATTAAATGTCAGTATGTACTTAATCTTTTCGCTTATATAATCGATAAATGTGATAAATTTATTTAAGTTTAAGTTCATAAATTTCTCAAGGCGTTCAACCGTGTAAAGCAATTTATTTATTTTCTCAGTAGTAGGCTAAGCCCAGTATAGACTTTAATGCCAGTTTTAAATAAAGCTCTGTTGTAATTATTTCACTCGATTCTCACTACATAAAAATACCATTTACGAAATCTTTATTGGTGTAAACGAGTCAATGTTAGTGTTTTCATAAATTTCCCTTCGACGAAATGTCAAATGTGCCGTTTTTTTTATCGTAGTAACAAATTTATTTTTAGTTGTCCTTTAGTTAACAAAACAACGGTTTTTTAAAAATATGTGATAATAAAATAAATATTTTAATTATATAAGTAGATACTAATCAAACTTTATTATTTATATAGATAAAATTTTCAGTTTTATGTTAATTTATTTAGGCTTATTGTTATAGAACTTCTAATTAAGCTTAATTATTCGTTGATGCTTGATTAATCCGATTGAAAATTTAGTTGATTATTTTAAAATGGTTCTATTATTTTGCAACTCTTCTGAGAAATTAATAAATACGCTCAACACAACATGTACATTTTTTTGTAAAACCCATTCTCATTTCTCCCTTTGAAAGTGAAACAAAAAAGTGGGTACCACGTGCAGCATCAACTCACCCCTACATTTAAAGAAAGCTAAAGCACCACACAATGGTAATTACGTTTGTTCTACTATAAAAATCATTACCAAGGAATGTTTTGTGTTTGTGTAAATTCCATAAGGCGAGGGAAAATTCAATTTAGAGTTTTACTTTTATTTCCAGTTCATACGTAATAATTTCATGTGTTACATTGTTTTACAACACAAACCTGTCTCTATTTGAACATGCGCGAACCGCGATCAATTCTAAGCGTAAAATTTAATGTGAAAATCTTTTTGATGAATACTTATAAACCCATTGTGAATTTTGGACAGTTCGAAATATGAACAAACATGAATCAATATACTGTTTAAAATACCAAGTAAAGCGCTTAGTTCGTGTTCTATTGATTATTAGTTATCTTTTAAAGAAGATATTTATTTAATTATAAAATACACTCAAAAACAAAAATTTGATCCTTGTACTGATTTTTTTTCTATAACAAGAAGGTACAGAGATTAACAGTTTCCTTAAAACGTAAACACAACATTAGTAACTTTTGTTTTCCCTTTATAAAATGTTACTAATCCATTTGCCTGCCAATAAAACAATGTCCATTATTTGGATTAAAAATAAAGAAAATCAGTTCAATTTGATCCATTCCAGAGGGATCCTTTCGAGTGAGTTAATTTTTTCCTCTGGTGTAAAAAATATTTTTCTTAAAAGATTATGTTAAGTCGGGAAAATCTCGCCTGCTGGGTCTAACGAAGGACGTAGGTAGCGTCCGTAATATAGCCCAAGTCCTGGGTGAGAGAGCCACCGGAAGTTTCGATCGAAGAGAAGAATGGTCGACCGCGATGTACGGCGGCTAGAGAAGATCTTTTATTGCACTTATGCGCCATTGAACCGTCATTTAACGGCCTCCATGATAGGTAGTCAACTCCAAACGGTCCGTAATGTAAGGGTGAGCTCCAAAACAGTCATCAGAAGGCTTCGTGAGAATAGGTTAGACATCCCGCAACCGGTTCTCTACTCGTCAGTGGCATTGAGAAGGCGAATTAAGGCGACTATTCGCAAATCAGTATCTCCCTTGAACAATTGGAACTGTTCTCTTCACAAATGGGTGCCGGTTTGGTTTAAGATGACGAGGACGTGGAGAACGTTGTTCTTCGTGTGCCATGCGTGAGCCACAGCCTTTCCAGACAGTCAGTTATGGTATGGGGTGGAATCAGCATACATGCCCGTACCGAACTGATTATCATACAGGATGGAACTTTGCCTGCATTGAGGTACATTGAGCATGGTTTTCTGGAATCTGTGTTCGATGTATTAGGGACTACTTCGTACTAATGCACGATAATTGCTCGATCGGAAATTGTCACTCATTCGGAGAGATAAGGATTACTTAATAAAATGAATACGAAATTCGAGATAATTTTCATAGATTTTCATGATGCCTATAAAACTTAAGGCCCTCCGCGAGGCCAAAGGAAGTACAACGTGTTATTAAGAGTAAAAGTTGGTAATAAATGGTTAGAAAAATTGTAATCTTTCACTGTTTTGGTGTGATTTTTCTTTCAAACCAATATAATTAAATAAGTTTTATTAAAAATCTTGAATTTTTGATACCGTTTAGTTTGGTTTAAGTTAAAATAAGTATGTTGTAATTAATATACCGATAAAAATACATACAATCTGAATTAAACAGCAAAATATTAGTGTCCAGGTTTCTTGTCTTTGTGTGAATTTAGCCCGGCAGTTCTCATGACCTGTCTCCTCCTGTAACTCTGTTTGTTTACCTTTAAAATGAATATTAGGATAGTTAATTTGCAGCAAAGTTAAACATCATATCACTCGTATCCATAAGTCCAATGTCGTGATTTTCTATTTTCTATTTGTATATTCCATTAAGAGATTCCATCGATATTTTGCCTATATAATTAACACATAGATAGATAAAAATAAATTTAAATACTAATCACATTCATCAAGCATCGATAGTCGCCAAAAGTATAATTTTTAACAACCCTTTTGTTATCAATATTTGGTAAAATAAGAGAATGAGTCCACTAGTTGGAAGAAATAACCAAGTACGTTTTACGCCTATTCAACAGTTAATGCAAACTCCTGGTAGTTGATTTATGCAACGAATAAATATGCTAAATTCATTAGATGATTCTAAATCTGTATGAAAAAACTATTGTAGATACGGACTACACAGATGCAAATGAAACTGAGTCATCTGCACGTGGTTATTTCTGTATTTTATATTTATTATAGACCTTCATGTTTAGTACTGCGATAAACAGAAATTTTTAAACACTATGTTAAAATCAACATCGTCTTTATCAATATTTTCTTCATCATTTTTTTATCCATTACACAATGACAACAATATTATTAGGATGCCATACAAATTTTATGCTAAAGGATGCCATACAAATTTTTTAACGCTGTGTACGCTTATACAACCAACGTCGATATTCTAAAATATCTCCCAATTGAAAGATAAATATGCGAACTGATTTTACTGCTAAAAAAACGAAAAAACTCTAAGTACAATGAGAAGTATTTACGTTTCTTCGCGAAAATAATCTCACAGCTGCTGTTGAGTCGATTCCACCATTTTTTTCATAAATATATCTGTGCAAATGTTATGTGAAGACAGATAAGAACGTATTGAAATGCTAATTACAATTGCTATTATGAAACGCTATTATTTTGTATCGATAGGTACCAGAAATATAATTTTTGTTTTAACACATTTATATCCATTTTTGTTATTATAATAGAAACAGTCCACTAGTTGGAAGAAATGACACAGTGAGCTTTATTCGTATTAAATTTTTATTCATTTTGAATAAACGGAAGTTCCTTGTGATGGTGTTTTGCCACGAATAAGTAAGTACGTTAGAATATTCTGAATAGGTCCAAACAAGAAAAAACTAAGTATGCACTGTACAGGTAGATTACAGCGGTTGGTATTTATGAATTGTATATTTACTATAATCCTTGTCCCAGTATTAGTGTAGCAATAAACTGGGTTCAAAATTTTTAACGCTGTGTACGCTTATACAACCATCGTCGATATTCTAAAATATCTCCCAATTGAAAGATAAATATGCGAACTGATTTTACTGCTAAAAAAACGAAATAAAACAAATATCAGACGTATCAAGTTATGATAAAAACGGGTAACGGATATTATGTTTAAATGTCTGTTCGAGTGAATGGTGAGGGGGGGAGTTCATATTACCGAACAGTACGCAAACATATGCTGATTTATGCGCATTTAATTTGCAGCTAGAATTCGCTTAAATAAATACACTCCGAAAACGTAACTTTAACTTCTTGCGATTTGATCAAAAACGTTTTAACGCGATGTAGCTAATAATGATGAGAAATGGGCAATTAATACTTGCCGTATTTGTTCGGTATCAGGTCTGGGTCCGATTCGTCCTGCGGTGACCGGGGTGGCTGCGGAGGGTTCAAAGCCTCTTCTGTTACAATTGGTATCTTTAGCCCTGGTCTCCGTGACCCTCTTCTCCTGTGCAAAGCGACGGCCACTCCGCAGGACACAGCGAGAAGCGCAGCAGCAGTAGCTGACAGCACGACAACCAGCGGGTTCAACGGTAAAGTTCCTAGAGGTCCTGAAACAAACAAATCAAAATTAAAACTTACATTCTTTAATAGAAATTATTTACCAATAAAACATAAATAAACTAAAATTTTTTATAACGTTATACATTTTTTGGCGTCTTCAGTACAAAATAAACAATAATAATTACTAATTGAGAGGAGTTACTTGATTTATTAACTTCATTAAATTTCCTAGACGATCTTTTTATGAATCTTTTAAGGAAATAATCGTAATGCGCGATAAAATCCACGGATAGAATTTATTGATGCAACCTTCTTATAAAGAGGATTTTGTTGTTGGGGTAACGACCCAGATTCATGTGAAATAAAACTGACCGAGCGGCACTATTAAGCGTAATCTGAAGGCTTTAAGCGTTGAAAGGGATAAAAAAAAGGAGTCGGAATAAAAAGAAGAAAAAACAATAATGAACTATGGTCTAAATTCACTAGGGATTTGGCAGCTTTGATTGTAGAATTATGTTAATTTATTGATTGGCAATAAGCGATCGTCTTAAGCTTTAGGGGTTGGGCTGGCGAGGAGACAATTAGGAACAAGTTTTATGAGTGTCATTTAAATGCAAAAGTCTTCTGGAAGAAAGGAGCGCTGACTAAGTAAGAGGACATCTGGCATTTCCCATCTCATTTCAATTCTATTAATGAACTCACCAATAGATGGCTAATTAGAAATAGATAGTAGACAGTATCGTTTACCTTAATTTAGAGAACAAAATCTAAGTAAATGGGCTTTCAATTCTTATTTTTTAAATTAAATAAATTATGTATTAGATATAAATTTGTCGCTATAAAAAATGTACTATTTATCTAGAAATCATAAATTACTCTTAAATCCTTGCATTGCATTTTAACTGATTGTGAGATAATGGGTTCTTTCTTTTAGACATTTCGATAGAAAATCGGACATAACATAATAATAATGGCATATTTTATATACACATGACATATATATATATATATATATATATATATATAATCAGGGATCAGGCTAGGGTTATAGTACGTACTTGTCATGTTGGACATGTTCTATTTTATGTAATTGGCATTAGAGCCTTAATATTATAATTGTAAGCAGGGCGTCCCGGGACCAGAGGTCAATACTTCAGAACGTTGTTCTACATATCAAATCAGATTAAAATTTCTTTATTGACTACAGTCTGATTCAATTGTATTCTAGATATTTCATTTTTCGTGTTAGTTCAACGTTTTAAAACTTTTCCTCAAAAACCCATTGTATCTCAAAAATAAAATCTGAACATTTGTATACATCAATGGAAAGAGCATAAAACATGCTTAAGTATTCATTTGGTTCGTATTATCACCTTAAACAAACAAGTGCAAAATCAGTTAGAACAAAAGTTTTTACAATTTTCAAAGTTCTTGCCTAAAAATTAAATAACATTTTCTTGGCTCTGTAAATACTGTTGTATAAAGCCTTACAAAAAAATTGCCCCAACTAATGAACTTTGAGCATATATATCTAATTTCTCAACGGACAGTTATAAACAGTGTTAAATTAACCTATATTTGCTAAAAAAAAATGGGTGATAAATGGTTTAAAAAAATATCTTTACGTTGTAGAATCTTCTATTAAAAAATAGCACAAAGTAAATAAAAGAAAACTCTTTGGGACAAAATTCAACATAAGAATTAACAAGCTAAGTTTTAACTCCGATGGACTTCTATACAGGGTGTCCCAGTTCCTTCTGACGAAACTCAGGGAATCGATTCTACTCTTTGTTTGGAGCAAAAAATGCTCAGGAGAAAATTTTCGTAAAGTTCTCCATTTTGAAGATATATATAGTCAATTTTGGTTTTTTCAACTTTTCACTACCTTACCACATAAAAACGCTTACAACTTCCAAAATGTTGAGACTACAACAAATCCAATTACACCATTTGAAAGAACGCTAAATTTGCTGTAAGATAATTATATTTGCAATAATCTTAATGACATAAAAGTTAGAAAATATCAGTTGGAACATGTCAAAATTACAAAATTTAAAATTTTGGTCATGATTGCACGTTCTACTGAGGTTGCAAAAAAATACCTACAACTTGTCAAATTTTACAAAAACTTCTTCATCTAATATGCTTTACGTTGATATATCCAGGTTTTTAAACAACGTTCTAGTAGAGTTGAAAAATAATAATTGAATGTTCGTAAACGTGAGCTAAGGTAAATTTGAAGGGGGGGGGTTGTAGAAATAAATCAATTAGAACTCGCTTTGTAAAATAAAAATGACACAAGGAAATGCTCAAAGTGTTTTCCCTCTTCTCGAATGCATAACTGACTTTCTGAATTTCTACCTCCCCCCTTCAAATCTACCTTAGCTCATGTTTTCGAACATTCAATTGTTATTTTTCAACTCCACTAGATCGTTATTTAAAAATCTGGATATATCAACGTAAACCATATAAGATGAAGAAGATTTTGTAAAATTTGACAAGTTGTAGTATTTTTTTGTAACATCAGTAGAACGTGCACTCATGACCAAAATTTTAAATTTTGTAATTTTGACATGTTCCAACTAATATTTTCTAACATTTTATGTCAATCAGATTATTGCAAAGATTTATCTTACAGCAAATTTAGCGTTCTTTCAAATGGTGTAATTGGATTTGTTTTAGTCTCAACATTTTGGAAGTTGTAAGCGTTTTCATGTGGTAAAAAACATGTGGTGAAAAGTTGAAAAAACCTAAATTGACGGATATCTTAAAAATAGAGAACTTTCCGAAAATTTTCTCCTGAGCATTTTGTGCTCCAAACGAAGAGTAGAATCGATTCCCTGAGTTTTGTCAGAAGTAACTGGGACACCCTGTATATGGGTACCTCTTAGAATGAAGTTCATTCCATTCCTGTCACAGCTATAGACACTTCATAAAAAGATTAACGGATTAAAAAGGATTAAAGAATCCTCTTCTCTTATGAGAGAAAAGAAGCCGGTAAACCCTCGTGAGCAGGAAAATTTGTCAGGAAACAATATCAGCCTTGTATGATGCGCGTCAGGAGCAAACTATACTATTGATAAAATAGGTGTACATTTGTACAAGCTTGTTATTTTTCTTATTAATTTTTTACAATAAACTATTTTTTTGTTTATTTCTGATTATTTTTTAATATTCACTCAGTAGAAAGGCGCTAAAAATATCACATTGATCTTGATCTTTATAAAATCGTAAACATTTATGTTATAACTGATTTTGTAATTTGTTTGTTTTTGCTTACAATAAAAAAATGAATCCTATAGGATTTTTTGTGCTATTTCTAGTCATGCAATCAAAGTAGATAGAGTGCTCGATATTTCCCGGGCGAGATTAAACAACCCCTTTCTTACACGCTAATAAATTACATTCATTCCAACACATACTACGTAAACACAACACCTGGTACAAACATAGAAGTCTGGTCACATATTATATAATAATCACCGGGTTATATATTAACATCATACTCCGTTAAAATCCAGAACCGTTTCAAACTATGCTCCAGCGTTTTCTAACTCAAAGGATAATTTAAAATCTCGTTTTTGAGAGTTTAAGAGGAGAAAGGGGAAGCGATGAAAATAATGGGTGTGGTCGCATTACATGACAGCCTATTTAAGGCAGGGTTGCAATAAAGAGTCATAACGGCCTTTACTCATCATTTATTAACCAAGACTGTTAAAAAACTGGGTGTTTATATCATTTAAGGCGAATTATTATGTAAGAGGGACTTTTAGCAAAGTGTTTATATAAAAGAGAAATTTTGAAAAGAGTTTTTTCTTTTTCATTTTTTTAAATAAACTTACTACAGTGCCAAAGATAATGAAAATTACGCAATGCTAAAAGATAGAAACGAGTCTTAATTTCCGTTCAATATTTTCATCCCTTCACCACCCTCCTCGGCCTGTTCGGACTGCTTCATCCGCCTCTTTTTATTCCTATAAATCAATCGGTAAACGGCCCCAGTGATGTTGTTATGGAAATTTCTGGAGGGCTGCCCCCACTAATGAGACCGCACAGTGTTTGCTGATGAACGGGGATTCAACAAAGCACGTCTAATAATAAACTAAATCCTGGAAAGTTTAATTGCTAAATTTCGTTAATGTTGCTTCAGAATGACGGTAATGGTCGAACCCCAAAACTTTTCGACTCATACGATTTTTAAAGGGAAAAGGAAATTTAGGTCTGTGGTTTAACTGATTACTTTGTCATTACTACAAATTTTTAAGACATTCCGCATTTGCCATTATATGAGAATGGTTAGGACGGAATCCTATGACCTGTCTGTGTATAATGACAGAAAAATAACTTTTTTAAATCCTTTTTAAAAAGATAGTTCCTACGCACAATAAGTTGTTTTGGAACGATCCGGATTTCGAGCCTTTTAGCTCATCATCAGATTGAAGGACTTCCACAACCACGTCTCTCGACATGAATTGCCAAAGTGAACCCGCTGATACCTCCACCAACGCGATGTTCCAATTAGCAGCTGATCTTTTTAATGGCGCTCAATTTGAACGTGCGAAACGCGGAAATTATAACACAAATAAATATTATACTAGTAAATACTTAATATTATTAAATTACTATAAAAATAATAACAATTAAAATAATTAGTTTAATTATTTGGATGTTTGATATTATTTATGTACATATTTAAAATGGGAGGTAGATCAAAATCTGTTATATTATTAATGCATTTATCACCATGTTCAATTTTACATTTTTTAATTTTAAATTTCTCAAACCAATCTAACTCTTCCCCTTTGTTGAAAGTATGTAACACTCTTGTATTTAGATTTGAATTGAAATGATGTTTTCATTTTTTCCCTTCAATTTATTTCTTCTGCAGCTTTTACTTCGTGTAACAAAAACCAAATAGAAGACATACTTCAGTTTGTAAGTTTATATTCAATATTATTGACAAATATACAACAAAGTGTAATTTCTCAATAAAATGATTTTGGCAGAGGCTTAAACGGGCTGGAATTGAAGGTTGTATTCAAATAAA